AGGAGGTATAGTACACCGAGAATAACCACAATGTCAGAGGCTTGAACTAATTTCCCCTGAGGGCGTGGATCGGAGGGGCCCGCTGAGGAGAAGGGTTGGGGAGGAGGGGAGGAGGGGCAGAAGGTGGTGAGGGGGTGGTGAGAGGGGGGAGGGGGTCGGCGCCGATATGTGGGCGTGTGTCGTGTATCGGGCCGTGTTGGCTCAAGGTACCGCACCCGGGCAGGAGGCTGATTACACACACCGCCATACGGAAACGGCCAATGCCGCCGCCGTCGCCCCCGTTTCAGGAAATAAGAGAAAGACTTTGTCAACCGGTGCAAAACTCTTGCTTATTGCTTATCGCATCGCTCTCTGTCGATATGAACACGACAAACACGAGGGAGAGGGAAGGGGGAGGGGGGAGAAAGGGGGAGGGAAGAGAGAGTAAGGGGGAGTATGAGCAAACTCGTGGGGCGCATGTTCGTGTGCGTGCGTGGCCGTCTGTGCTTCGCGCAACGCAAGGGGCCTCAATGTTTTGCATAACTTTCTCTCATTCTGGCAAACCTGCGTAGCCCCGGCCTGTACCCGGCCTGGCCCCCGTACAATAACAGCGAGCGCGCAGCCATTTTATAAGGCTATATGACTCCCCGCGCGGTCCATACACATCCCCCAGAGAGGGTAGCGCGAACACCGCGTTATTGTTTCCCTACTGGGCACGCCACATGCCACGGCGCAGCACTTCGCCCTTCTCTCTCTCTCTCTCTCTCGTGGACTCCTCAGCCCCCTTTCCCTTTCGATTGTCCCTGCGGTGTCTCGTCTCCCCTCTCAGTCGCTCACAGCAGTTCAAGAGGCGCTAAGACGGCAGAAGAGCTTATTCCCGGCGCACAGCTTATACGGGGATTTGCAAAGCAAACAGGGTACGACGAAACCAGCACGGCCATGTCTGTCTGGCGCCCGCGGGAGGGAGCGGCAAAGAGAGAGAAGAAAAGTTGGTAAAGGAGGGAAGGAAAAAGAGGGGGAGGCAGACAGGGAGAGATAGAAAATGGAGAAAATAAGAGTGGGAATGAATACTGAAAAATATTGAGAAGTGTACGAGTCTTGTAGCAGTAGGACAAAGATTACGTCACAGAATGCATTAAGACACTCGTACTTATAGTAATGGAGGGCAGTCCTACTCGATTGGTAGTAGTAAAGCCCAGCAGCGTTTTCCAACAGTGTGGCTGCTCACATGCTTCCGCTACGATTACGCACCGCAGTCCCGTCCCGTCCCGTTTCGGGACCAACGATAATATTGCATTCCGTTTACCGCGGCGACGCGGCGCCGACGGGTAAAAGGCACAAGAAGATGGAGAGGCCGCCGTGAGCATAAATATTGGAAGTCCACGGCTTTCATCTCCGGGCCGGGCCGAAAGCGGGAGCTGCGCGGGCGGGCGGCACGGGACAGCGCGCCGAGTCGGCCTTTCTGACCAAAAGACCTGATTGGGGTCCCCTGGCTTGCTTGCTTGCGTACGCTTCTACGGGGGATGAGGGGGGATAAAGAAAAAAAGAGCCGAAAAATAACGCGCGGGGCAGAATAACGTGCATTTATTCGTCATAACCATCGCTCAGCCGAGGTGCACTGTGAGGCCAGGACGGTGGTGGTGGTGGTGGTGGTGGTGCTTGCGGTGGTGCTTGCGGATGTACACCACCTGGGGAGGTGGCTGCACGTACGAGGGCTGGCTGTGGAGCACGATCACCTTGGGGCGGCGGTGAAGACCGAAGAACCTTAGGGGACGGAAAGCAAGTCGGCGGACGTGAAAATGCGCGGCGTCGGATGTCAGGTCAGACTCAAGGAGTCAATAGATAGTAGATAGTGTGCGGAGCCCACTGTAAATCTGCATGCCTAAGCACGGTGATGAACCGCTGAGCTGTGCACGTTTACCAAACAGACGCTTTGCGAATTGCGAGGTATTCGGATGCTCTGTAACTAAGAAGCATTACTTTGCACTTTACAAAGCCTAATTTGCAATTGCGAAGCAATGCTTTACAATTTGCTGTGAAGCATATCTGGGTAATTGCAAATGTAAAGGCTTCGTAGTTACAAAGCATCTGTGTCATTGGATTTCCAGTATACATACGTATGAAAACATAAAGACAGACTAAACAGTAAATTTCTTACGAACAGGTTCGTAATGCAAACCAAAACCCTCGTTAGCTCACGAAGGATTTTGAAGCGTTTATTACGAACTAATTCTTTGTAAGCTTACGAACAAATGGTTCGATTGTTCGTAAGAACCTTCCTGGCGTTACAAACAAATGATTTGCAGTGAAAAAAATCTCTTTGCAATACAAAGAATGGGAATTGTTCGTAATGTTTCAAAGCATAAGCATATTACAGTGTACCGAATAGGCTCCATAATATTTTGGCTTATTACCGCATGCATTGTAGGCAAGCGGGGAAGGGCAACCAACCCACAAGGTTGAATTAGCAATAGAATAACCACAAAATTAGTACGGGGCCTATAGAACACCCAGTGAAGAAAATAATACTTTACCTTTTAGGACGGACAAGAGAGGCCTCGATCTGGGATTTAGCGCCGTGCGAACCACCGAGCGAACTGACACGAACGGTATAAGGCTCACGACGAGCACGAATTAGGTGATTCTTGCCGTCAATGACGTCGTAGGATTGAATTCCACTGAAAGATGATAATATGATCGAAGAATAACAGTAATGCTTAATCACGGTCATAGAGGCAGATGGCATGCCATCTGCAGATCTGGTTCGTTCGTGTGTCACTGATCAGGACCCGAGAGAGAATTATTCGGTACGGGAGATATTGCGCAGGACCCTTAAGTAAGGAAATTAAGATGTAACGAAAAGACAATCCAATTCGAGTCACGTCACGTTCACCCCACGTTCACGTCACATTCCTTCATATGTGAAAAAAGTCATATTCTTGTAAATGTTAATGTCACATTATTTTTCATGTGACTTAAGAATTTCTAATCCTGGCCCGGCTATGAGTCAAGTTGAAACGAATGTGACAGCATGATTAAACCAATGTGACCAGTTTCTGCATGCACTGATAAACTAAGTGTTCAACTGCTCAACACTTGTAAGTGTGCAACTGCAAGTTGAATACTTGCGAGTGTGCAACTTTGTAATCGTACACTTGCAAGTGTTCAACTCAGGAGGTGTGCAACTCCTTATTTGAACACTTGCTTAGATTGGACGATTAATGTGTAGGAAGTGCTCAACCGAGGAGTTGCACACTTGCAAGTGCACACCTACCAAGTTGCACACTTGCAAATGCACACCTACCGAGTTGCACACTTGCAAGTATTCAACTTGCAGTTGCACACTTAAAAGTGTTGAGCAGTTGAACACAGTGTGTTAATCAATATGACGACACATGAACTCAATTAGGAGAAGTTAGAAAACCTCACGCATCAATCACAACTCACGTATTAGGTTTAGCGGGCTCGGCAGCCGCCAGCCCGGCGA